GCGTAATGAACAGGAAAATCTTTGCTAATTATTATTATTATTATTTGAGGGGGTGGGTATCCCCATGCACCGCGACCAGTGGTCTATTGTACGTCCCCCTGTGATATTCTACCAGTCTCTATACCCTATCGGTATTGGTGCGTGCCATCAGTCCCGACTCAGCCAGCGAGTTCGGCCTCTACTGGCTCAGCGGTATCTAGATGCTTCCCCCATCTACCAGAGGCGTTAGAGACTATTGTTGGGCGGGAAATGTCCTTATAATTCCACGACCTCCGCCGGGTTTGAACCCGCCTACCTGGAGTCATGAGGTGGGAACGTTACCCCTAGACTACGGAGGCCGCTTAGATCTTTGCTTAGTGTTTCGCTAAAAACCCATTTACATTTCTGACATTTTAACGCTCACAAATTTTTACTGAATCACATCGCAAAACGGGAACTAGGCCACGTTTTCAGTTTACTTCTAATCTTGCCGACTGTAAGAGGCTGTTTCAGAACAGACTCCCTGGAGTGGCGGCACAACTTTCGTGTAAGTGTACGAGGAGGGTTGAAATTTGAAATCAGGGGCATAGATTTACGTCTTAATCAACCTGCCGGAACACAGTACAAACAGCCGGGCGCATGGGCACCCCACTTACATCATTAGGAAAGGAGACTACAATATGGGAACGGATAATGCATAAGAGTCATGAATCATTCGATAATGAACCTCCACATAATCTGAAGATTAATTTCTAGGGGAGAAATGACAGTCGTGAGGAATTTGTGTAGGATTCATCCGTAGTGAACCAGAAATGATTAATGTCGCAGTTCGTACTTACCAACGCTGACATGAAGACGTGGAGGGGAGCAGAAGTATAGCTCCATATATTCCGAATCTAGGCGAAGGAAATAGCGCATTTTGACACCCATTCTGCAGTTCCTCTAGGCAAATAACGTGCGGTATCGACTGTGGGAGCCTGGGTGAGCCCAGTTTCTGCCGTTGGCAGGATTCGAACCCCGATTCCATGGCCGTCCAGCCGCTGCACTAGACTGACTGAGGTATTCCGATAGTAACCGTGGAAAATAACAAAGAAGTCAACCGGGAGAGTTGCTTACGGGTGGAATTAAGGGAAAGACGTGTACTCGCAATGTGAGCGGTGAGCTAAGGGGCGGCTGGTTGCCATGGCGACTAGCATCTGGCAGACCTGGCAATATTGACTCGCACGGTTGGCGTTATGCAGATAATTATACCAGTCGCAAAGCTGATAGGCGATTACAGAACTGAAGACTTTAGAGGCAGGACATGATGACACCCAGCAGTTGGTCTCTGGGATCCTGTGGCTGCATATTCGAATCCCTTGTGCTGCCCCACAGCAGCGGAGGACTATGATGGCTCTATTCTCGATATGCAGTAACACGCTATAAGTGAGATACGCACAATTGGTGAAGGCGGAGTGAAGTCTATTCATGAGACAAACCCATCCTCTCATCAGAGAGGAAGTTACACAAGAACTGTGACCGCAAGGGTTCAGTTCCGAGAGAAAAAAAAATCTCTGGTAGTGAGCCTCAAAGACATTGGCGCCAAGACGAACTGATTTGTGGTAAACAGTACCAGAGATCTTTTCACGCAAAATTGGACCATGTGTTCTTTATATTTCACTAATTAGACATCACATATCTAATTAAAATAACGCACCACTATAGTGACCGAAAGCAGCGACCGCCATATTCCAAAAGATCTTTAACAAAAGACGAAAGATTTCCAAATAGTGAAGAGTGAGTAAGTTTAATAAACCCCAGTGACAGGCCTACTATAACTTGAAGCGCAGAAATTTGTGTTGCTGTCGTTTTGGTGTGGCTAAGGATCAGAATTAGGTACATTAAGCGACGTGTCACGCAGTTCTTACCGGGTCACATGACCAAAACATGCTTCGTGTTGCTGGTCGCAACTGAATCATGCGTCAGATGCGAGGCACAGGTGGCAGGGAGGGACGAAACTCACAGGATCTTAGTACTCCGTGCAGGTAAGCTTATACACTGTCAGCTGGTGTGACTAGCACAAAGAACAACTTCACTATCACAACAATATAATTCCGTATAGAAGGCAATTTCAGACTATGACTATCTGGGAAAGGTAATTACTGTATTTTGTGATGTTAGACCGTGTAGTCTGGTAATTACTTACGAACGTCCCGGAAGATCCTGAGGCCTTTATCTTTCCAAAAGCAACCAAGATGTGGTTACAGCATGTTTCTGCGACATATTAGTAATGATCTACCACGGTGGTTCTCAGCCGGGGGGTGCAGTATTTCGGGGGGGGGGGGACAGGAAAAAGTCGAAAAAATTTGGGACAACGGAAACTGTTCAGTGGACCACGAAATTTTCACTTCTCGAATAACATTATTAATAATATATAAAGAAATAAAAATGCCAAATGCTCAGGGCATATAATAACACAGTAACTCAGTATTCTTGGTTCTGTGTGCCTTACTTAGGAGAGACAGATCATATTGCACTTATGCCACAACCTCAGATCTGGGAATTCCCCGTACTGGTAAACAAGCACTCGCCTTCTCGCAGCAGGCAAAGCCCTAACGAAATGGTTAACTGGAAAAATTATCCTTTATTTTCCTAAATATCTCCCACTCCTCTCATGGGTTTTGCCGCCAACTTCTCAGTAAATTTCGGGTCTTCTTCAGTTCAGTATTCGGCGTGCTTCGAAGAAGACATTTTTCTGCGCTACTTCTCTTATTGTGACAGTTCCCTACTTTGGAGGCAAGTTACAAATTCCACCTGCTGTTCTTCGAGAACTAAGCATTATATTTCATAATGACTCGAACTTTCATTACAAATACACTATTAGCTTTCAATAGATTATGAATTCCGTCCCTCTACAAAAGAAAACTGTTGTGAATTGATACAGCATTTTAGTATTTATTTTAAGTAGAATAGCTTCCAAAGTAATTTTCATGAATACTGACTTACAAAATTTTCCACTTATATAAAAAAATTTCAAAATAGGACAGTAATACATTTTAAAATTGTATTAACTAGTTAATATTCCTTATATTATGCACAAATAATAATGTTATAAAGAAAAGTGCAGTTTATAAAATACATATTTGTTAAAAATATTGCATTTATTATTATTAAACAATAAGAGGAGTGAGGACCACAGAAGAGAATGAAAACCAGAAATGGGCCACGAGCAAAAAAAAAAAAGTTGAAAAACATTGATCTACCAGACTAGACGGCGCAACATGCCAAAAGACCTCACCGCCGTGAACACCTCACAAGATGTTGAGCAGAAAGCTTGAGAAATTGCGAGCAGAGAAGCACAAAACAATTGCCTGTTCTCTTTAACCCACTAACATACTTCGGCGGCTACAGAGTGACGTGACAGGGTGAACAATAAATGTAGTTCGCCTTCACGGAAATTTTGTGGTCATTGCGTGAATCTTCCTAACTTCAGAATTTATTCTGTGTAGAAAATTCCTTACGGGGACGAAACCAGAGGGGCAATTAAATGCAAGTATTACAAAAATAGTTAATGCTCTACTCTCGTCGACATAAATGGCAACACTGTAGGGTATAGAGTCGTTATTATGCACCGACGGGGAGGAAAGCAGGTATATCAGAGCCGTTTCTAGGCAACAGCTCGATGAACATGTTCCCGCTGAAACGGATACGCATGCAACAATGGAGGTCATGTTGGAAACGGTGTTTTCTACTCGGTACGTGCAAAGGGGTTATAAGGTGGGCAATTGAAGCAACAAGCGCCTCCACCGTGACCCTGCGAGTCGAAGAAGGCGACGAAAAGGGAAGGCTCGAATCTGAGACAGTAAAATATGTTCGCAAGTCTCAAGGGACTATGAAGGAACTGAGGAAAACAGAGTAGACAGAATGTGATGAAGTAGCAGCGTGACGAGGACAGGAAGTAGGTTCCTACGAAACGTCGGTAGCCATGCATCAAACAACACAGTTTCATATACCACAATACCATAACCCTCACACTCACAGGTATGGGAACCTCTGATCACCCAAAGAATCCTCACTTCGATTTTCCTCGTCACGTGACCGAACCCTGTAGGTTGCACGGTTCGGGTTATGTGAAGGCCAGTTGATAACCAGATGCGGCCCTCGGGTTGGGAACACTGCTCCTAGGTACACACGTGTGCGACAAGAGTGGGAAGAAGTCGTGTGGCGAACAGCTGCCTGGGAACTGACCGGAACACTTCCGGTTACACCAAATACACTTAGCGAAAATCACAGTCAACAAGGTGACATGGCATCAGTTGACTCTGGTTGTTACGCTGTACGCTCCGAAGGTCCGCTGTCTTGTCATCGTAACTACGTTCGTGGCCTTTTCATTTGGATGCTCTTACGTTTAATTTAAACTCGGAAACACACTGAGATCTAGTTCACATTCTCGCGAAAGGATGTGACGCCGTGTAGTCTGATAGTCTGCCTACTTTTTGGAGAGATGTACTGCCTCCCACTTCAGGGTTGAAAAGCAAGCCAATCGGGCAAGCGCTAAGCACATTTGTACCCGTCGCCTTATTTCACTCTCCAACCCATTGCCGTTCTGTGTTCAAACAGTAACGCGAAACTCTCTTGCACATGCGGTTCCTTATACCAGTTTTGCACTATACACGAGGTGGCTTCTTAGAATTGAGGCAATTATTAATAGCTTAATCTAAAATTAAAGCCAACTGAAAGCGAACTTGAGTTCAGTTTCGGAAGTACCACAGACACGTTTCCACGCCAGTTAGAAACACGACTCATTGAACTCTCGTGACAATTGGGCTTGAAGGTGGCCTGAATGTGATGTCTTAATTTGTTCAATTCCGCATCAATTCGTAAGCAAGAAATTATAATGGCATTTATATTAACACGGGGCAATAAAACATCACACGCAAGAAGACATTTGTATGAGAAAAATGGCCACGTTCCCACAGTGCCCTGCGGTAGCTACCAACAGAACTTCGAGAATATGAAAGTAAAAACAAGTGACTACTTACCGCGCGTAGCGGGCGATACAGGATCTATGTCCATTCTTCCTATGGGATCGGGGGCTGAAACAGCAAAAAAGAAAACAATTCAAGTCAATTGACTTAATTAACAATGGGTCATCCATTCTTATTAGCCCACAGTAAGTGGCTCTTGGCAGACATAGCATTCTGCAGTAGCTCATGAATAGGCAGGCCTGCCAACGGCGTCTAATTAACACGGTGTATCATCCGACTCAGGAGTTACTCGTCTCGAATCCCAGCCTGTGATCGTATGCCTTACTCATACTGTTTTTTTTATTACTAGTGAGATGGGACTAAGTCCCTTGTGCTGCGGCCACTTCTGGCCTATTGTCCCAGCCCCAGATGATAGATGAGGGTGATTGTGGAGCAGTTGGTGGAATGGAGATTGGCAGGGGAAACCGAAGTACTCTGAGAAAACCTGCCCCAGCGCCACTTTGTCCACCACAAATCCCACTTGGCCAGAACCGGGATCGAACCCGGGCCGCCGTGGTGGGAAGCCAGCGACTAACCGCTTGAGCTATGGCGCGGCCCTTTACTCATACTGTTCGTGATTATCGCTAGTAATTTGAAGAAAATTATTTCAAATATGGCAATTGAGGAACACCTCCCCACATTTAATTTTCTTTAACCTTCCTAATCATATTGTGGCGTATAGACCCTTTGCTAGGCAAAGATCTCGAAACAAACACGAGTACAACTGTAGCTATGCACTAGGCGAATAAAAAACGTCAGTTTCTGGGCAACGGCTCAGTAAACACGTTCCCGCGAAAATGACGCACCCAACAACAGAAGAACAGTTTCTCCGATATGGTCAGCCCCGAGCAGTTATCTTGACAATTAAGATTACCAGTTCAGGTGAGTCGTTGGAGGCGATGGGAATGGAACCCAGTTCCCGGGGGCATAACTGGGCCACCCTCTTCCTGGAGGATATAAATACGGCGACCTGGTCCTTCAGGTTGCGGGAGTCTCGATTCTGAGACAGTAAATTATGGTCATGATTTCCGCGGGACTCGGAACTAAGAATGACTGCGCTGGCGAGGGTCAGCAGCAATTGTAAACGACATGCCCATCCTCTGGTCAGAAAGGATATTACTTAAGGACTATGACAAGAAGTGCTCAAACCATAAAACCTGCCACAGTGCCACTTTAACCACCACAAATTTCACATGACCTGACATGGGCTGGAACCCGGGCCGCTGAGGTGGGAAGCCGGAGCTATTGCACGGCCTCGTCTCATCTTAGTTTACAAAAAAGTTACCGTATGTACAGACACAGGCCTCTCGCCTCATGTCAGCTATGCAACTAGCAGGCCAGCAACTCCTGTAGGGGATTAGAGCCTTTACAGTGCTGGGTATCTAATAATCAATTTGACTAACGGTCTGATTGTTGTCCAAGCTGTCATTACCGCGTGCTGAAACAGATGACGGTATTACAAATATGGCGGAAGTGGGTGTGACGTAGTGAAGTGTAATTTGCGGTTAGGTTTACAAAATGCTTTTCCTCGCAGCAATCCTTATTTCCTTTGTTTGGGAGCATTCAGCATTATGGCAGTCCTGGAACAAATTTAAAATTCGGCGAAAACAAGGCAGAAAATGCAAGCGACACTGCATGATGCGGCAGTCTGATGCGACTGCGTCTTGATAAGGGTTGTTTCAGCAACCACTCATGAGCCAACGACACAAAATGTCGCATTTTACATTAGAAATGATACCTGAATGAGATCGAGCCTCGGGCTGTTGTTCACGGGAAGGCTAAATGTGACATGAATGTGTGTACCGAAGAGCAGATGATACCAGGGACGACCACCAGTCACATGGAGGGAGCTTTATTTGTACTCATTTATAGTTTTCCGTCCTTTATTGTTGAGTATACGATTAAATTAATTTAATTCCATATAACCCGAAGGAGGAGACGCGGTATCGTGGTTGGTTGAGGCACTATGCTACAAATCGGAAGGTGGCGGGTTCGATTCTCGATGAGGTCACTGGATTTTTCAATTGACCTAATCTTCCAGCCGCACTATGGCTCTGGGGTCGACTCAGCCTATAACGGAAATGAGTATCAGATATATTCCTGGGGGGCAAAGGGCGGTCAGCGCGTAAGGCTGACAATCTCATCGACATCTGTGAGTCGATTGTCTAGAAAATGTTGAAGCCTCGACGTCTCACAAACCTTTGGACCTCCACGGCCTGTAACAGGGGTAGCTTTACCTTTTACCCCCACAAATCCACACTGCGTACGTGCGTTCTCTTTATGGATCGCTACAGTTAGGGGATAGAAGAACCGTTTTAATAAATTCTATTTCTGGTATTACTGTTAGGAAGGAGCCGGGATAGCTCAGTCGGTATAGCGACTGGTTACGGGCTGGACGACAGAGGGGTCGGAGTTCGAGTCCCGGTAGGGTCAAATGATTTCTCTTCTCCACATCGTCCAGACCGGCTCTGGGGTCCACCCAACCTCCTATCCAATGGATACCGTGCGTAAAGCGACAGGGGCTTGAAACTGACCATTCATCTCCATCTAGTGCTGAGGTGAATGAAAATGTGGATCTATACATCCACTCCCCCATACGCCTTCATGGCGTAGTGTTTAGTTCGTTAAGCACGGAGACAAATTTTACTATTACTGTAAGGTATACTGCGTATTTTATTCTTTTTTCGATTTTGACTATTTCTCAAAAATGTGGGGAAAGTGTCATAAGCTTGGCTCCACCCCCACCCCACCCCCCCAAATTCTCCATCTGGCGCACACGCTTACAGTTCTGCCTGCTACGTAATGACAGAATGACAAAGCGTAACCCATAAATGTGTATAATATATGCATTCCGAGATACAATTATTTTATTTCGGACACCTTTAATCAGGACACTCTGTACAAGTATATGGATACCTGTGATACCTGGCACTTCCAAGGAGATAAAAGACAAGCAGTTGTCGCAATTTCAGAAGTGGAAACAAAAAGACATGCGCTTGCAGAAATTATCTCTTTCCTTCCAGATCGACACTGGGGCCCACTCAGGCTTCTACACAAGTCTATACCGAGAAGCTCTTTCACCGGGTGTAATCCACTTCCATCTGGTGCCGTGGTTTAGAAGGCATGGAGCTATTCCTTCCACTTTCCACGGTGCGCTGCTTAATTAAGCACTGCATTAAGCTTGCACTCGCCTTCTTTCCAAACAACTCTTATCCACATTGTGCTATGCAGCCAGGCAACGACAGTGAAACAATCAAATACACAAAAGCCGTTGCTAGGTAAATGTTCCGTAAAAGACAACCGCAACAATTCGACGGCAACATGAGGATACAACAATAATGGGAGCCAGTGTTTTCTGTGAGACCCGTGCCGAGATGTAAGCATCACAGCCAGTGAGGAGTCAGTTGGTGAGTGACTGTTGCGGCAGAGTCCTTTTCAGCTGTTGCTGTGAACAGCTGGTAGCTGAGGCACGGGAACTCTTCGGGAACCCAGAGGACGGGGAACGTCCGTTAGTGAAGCCGCTACCAAGCAACGGCTAGTGGAGATTATAACAGACTGAGAACACTAGTCTTTGTATGATGTGTGAAGTGTGGTAACTAGTTGTATACGTGTCCAATAAATGCGATCATCAATCCAAACCCCGTCGATGCCCACACGCGTACACGTGACAATATTATTCAAGTCTTTTGGAGGATAAAAGGAGGAAGAGGGAGGGTGGAGATCGACAGAGACGGGTAAATAAATAAGAAGTTTTTTTAATAGTTTTATTGACCTTGTGAAATAAGAAGTTCTATAAAAATTAGCAAATATTATCAGATTGAAGATTCAGCTTCGGAAGAATATGCAGCCTACATCATCAGGGTCTAAGAATATGCCAAGTAAGAAAGGAGCGTGACCTTGTTCACTTTTCAGCAGAATAAAGACGCAATGCAGCCCAACAAGAAAGATAAATGTGAGAAAATTAGTTCGCCTGTTTCTGCAAATGACGCTGAATGCTGTGAAAGTGAGAACGAGGAGCCCGGACTTGGTGTTTCCTTGTGTACGACTCGACCTCTACATATTCTGCATCGCCATTGCGAGTTGAGTGCCCAGGGGGACCCACTGCCGCTACGTCCATCCACTGGCCGCCCCGCCAATAACGGACGGACGCCGTTAGGTGTCTAAACATGTACAGCCTCTGATCGATATCTCGCAAATGAGAGAGGTTGCTTTGTTTTTATAGCAGCACTTCGACTTCGGCGTTGTCTTAATATTGTCACGTGTAGGGTGGTACGCGTGACAAGAATAACGGGTTCTAGTTCGGATTGGATGCATTAGCACTTCGGTTGCGGTCTCTCTCTTACAATTGACACAGATCACCGCTGCACACGCACTAGGACTATCCGCCTTCACTAGTCGTCTCCTGGCAACGGATCTCAACACAGAAACTAGCACTTCAAATCACTATGAAGTCTTCTTACTATTTCTTGTTGAATCACCCTGGAACTCTCCTTGACTGCAAGCGGACTCGTGTGATATAGCAGTGGCACGGGCAACACAGAAAACAAGTTATACTGTTGCGTAGAGCAGAGCACACAGAAAACAAATCATGGGATAACCAAATACTGTTTAAATGACGTCAATACGCCTGCGCGGAACTGTGTTAACGGTGCCGTTGACTAGAAGCGGATTCCACACCCCGTTGTTCCATTCTTGATGCGTGCATTACTTAGAAATGACGGTTTCTGTGGCTCAACTGTTCTCGCATGAGGCAAATACCCCACAATATTTATAACACGCTGTACTTCAAATGGTCTTATTGTCATTATGTGGGCTATTGACACCTGGCCTTGGTATACATAGGTACATTGCAAACACAGATGAATTTCTCCGTATGTTTCATTTTATCTTTCTTGTGCTGAGATCTTGTGGCAATACCAATCACTACAATTCATCAACGCTGCGTATATGTCTACCGTTGATGGCGGTAATTATAAAAGGCTGGTGGGGGAGAGGGGGGGCCAGTGTATTCTTTTCTTTTTCGTCAGAATGTTAGAAGAACCAATCATAAAGAACATGCACATTCTTAC